GGAGAAGCAGGCTCCCTGCTGAGCATGGAGCCCAATGCGGGACTCGATCCTGGGACTCCAGGATCATGACCTGAGCCGAAGGCAGTCGCTTAACCAACTGAGCCACCCAGGCGCCCCTGGATTTTCTTTTTTACTCCACTATTTTTTTAACTAGATTTATCATAGTAATAATATTTACTTGAAAATGTTGCAACATATTGAGAACACTTGTATTGTTACAGCTTTTCATGCAGATTGAAGCTCTCTTTCCACAAAAATTTGGAACATGGACGGAGTATGCCAAAAGATACTGTAATGCACATATCAGGTATGACAAACTACTTTCTATAAATTTTAATTCTTGCATATTTACTGTGAACATTAAGGTTTTATTAGTCATTCTTTGTTCCAGTGCTTTTCAAACTTGTGGTAGCCATGGAATAATTTCTTCAAGTAAAATCTTGTGGGGTGCCTGGGTGGCTCAGTCGTTTAAGCATCTGCCTTCGGCTCAGGTCATGATCTCAGGGTCCTGGGATCAAGCCCAGCATCAGGCTCCCTGCTCCATGGGGAGCCTGCTTCTCCCTCTCCCTCTGCACCTCCACCTGGGCTCATGATCTCTCTTTTCCCTCTCAAATAAATAAATAAATAAATCTTTTTTAAAAATTAAAAAAAAAAAATCTTGTGTGAAAGACCTATACATAAAATAAATAAAAGAAGTAGATAATGGCATTTTTTTTTCTTTTATTTTTTACCTTCCATTTTGTTTTTGAAATTATTTATCTGTATTGACCGGATAAATGTGCACAATGTACAAAATTGAAAAGTAAGTTCCCATTCCACTCATGTCTCCCAGCCAGCCATTTTCCTTCACAGGTAACCAATGTTGGCAATTAATTGTGTATCTTTCTGGAGATACTCCATGCATGAAAAACCGTATGTGATTATGTGTGTATAATATTGTTTCATTCTATTTCTACATATATAGTAATATAATGTACACACTGTTCTGTAGTTTGCTCTCTTCACCTAATATCTATTAGAGATCCTTCCGTATCAGTTCCTAAAAGAGCTTTGATGTTCTTTTTTTATTTTTAAATGCTGCATGTATTCCACTATTTGCATGCACTATAATTTATTTAGTCTACTACCAATAGACGTCTGTTTGTGGTACATAGCTGTTGCATACAATACCACAATGAATATCCTTGCACGTTTTGAGAGGCAGTACATGATATTGGCAAAAAGCATGGAAAACTAGAGCTAGACCATCTGTCTTTCATATTCATATCCAGTACTTACCACGTTTCATTTTACGAAAGTTATTCTACCTTCCCATACCTTCATATATTCAGCTGTAAAAAGAGAAAATTATTCCTATCTCAGAGAGATATTAGGAGACTTACATTAGCTAATATTTATAAAGGGCTTGAATAGTCAGTGGCACGCAGCGAGCACTCAATAATTATGAGTTATTTTAATATTTCATGTCACACACACAGGACTAAATCTGTCGGATAAATTTATAGAATTGGAATTGCTGGTACAAAAGGGCATGTGTATTTTTATATTTTTTAGATTGTTGCGGACTGCTCTACCAACATTATACTAGTTTATATTCCCACCAGCAATAAGATTGTCTCTTTCCCCACACTTTTCCAACCTGTTCAGATATTATTTTATTTTGCCAGTGTCTTCTGACTGTTCCCTTCTTATGTTATTAAATGCAGTTGAGCATTTTTTTTTATGCATGTAAGAGACATTTATACTTTTTTTCCTGCTAATTTCTGTTTATGTTCTTTGCCCTTCATCCTACTAAACTTACTGGCTGTTTTTTTTCTTATTGATATATTGGAAATCTTTATATATTATAGAAATCAGCTCTTTGTGATATGAGTCCCTCACATTATTTCCCCAGTGTGTGTGTGTGTGTGTGTGTGTGTGTGTGTGTGTGTGTATGTTTTCCTTTATCCTTTCTACAAGTTTTTAAAGTAACCCTAGTGTGTTTTGATACTTTTTAAAGGGCTGTAGAGCACAGAGATAGAAGGAGTCCTTCCAGATTGTTTGTATGAAGGCATTTCACTGACAGCAAAATTAGACAATATCATACAGGAAAAAAAAGGACCTTTTTTTACTTAAGATTATAAATGTAGAAATCTTCAATATTATTATAAATAAGAAACTCATGAAAAGACCTAATATGCTAATCAGATGCAAATGGAATTCATATCAGCAAGTATTGTTTAATATTAGAAAATGTATTAATATAGTCATGTTACTAATGAAAAGGGAAAACTTCATTATATCATCTCCATATATGCTGAGATGTAATTTGACAAAATTCAGCACCCATCCTTTTATAATATTTAATAATTTTTAAATTATTGAAGTATAGTTGACATATAATGATAAATTAATTTCAGGTGTACAACATAGTTATTTGACAATTCTGTACATTACTCAGTGCTCACCATGGTAAGTATAGTGACCATCTGTCACCATACAACATTATTACAGTGTTACTGTATTTATTCCATGTACTGTACTTTTTTTTTTTTTTAAGATTTTATTTATTTATTTGACAGAGAGAGACACAGCGAGAGAGGGAATACAAGCAGGGGGAATAGGAGAGGGAGAAGCAGGCTTCCCGCGGAGCAGGGAGCCCGATGCGGGGCTCGATCCCAGGACCCTGGGATCATGACCTGAGCCGAAGGCAGACGCTTAACGACTGAGCCACCCAGGTGCCCCTGTACTGTACTTTTCATCTCCATGTTTTATTTATTCTATAACTGGAAGATTGTACCTCCTAATCCCTTTTACTTATTTTACCCAGCTACCCACCTCCACTCCCCTCTGGCAACTACCAGTTTGTTCCCTGTGTTTAAGAGTATGTTTAGTTTGTTTGTTTATTCATTTATTTTGTTTTTTAGGTTCCATGTGTAAGTTAGAGCATATGGTGTTTGTCTCTGTCTTATTTCACTTAGCATAATACCTTCTAGGTCCATCCATGTTGTCTTAAATGGCAAGATATCATTCCTTTTTATGGCTGATGATTATTTTTTGTATTTATATATCACATCTTCTTTATCCATTCATCTATCAGTGGACACTTGGGCTGCTTTGATAATTTGGCTATTGTAAATGATGCTACTATAAACACAGGGGTGCATGTATATTTTGAATTAGTGTTTTTGTTTTCTTTGAGTAAATACCCACTAGTGGAATTACTGGATCAAATTGTATTTCTCTTGTCAATTTTTTGAGGAACTTCCATATTGTTTTCCACAGCGGTTGTACCAATTTACATTCCCAGTAACAGTGCACAAGAGATTCTTTTTCTCCACATCCTTGACAACACTTGCTATTTCTTTTTTTTTTTTTTTTTTAAAGATTGTATTTATTTATTTGACAGAGACACAGCAAGAGAGGGAACACAAGCAGGGAGAGGGGGAGAGGGAGAAGCAGGCTTCCCGCCAAGCAGGGAGCCCGATGCGGGGCTTGATCCTAGGACCCTGGGATCATGACCTGAGCCCAAGGCAGACGCTTAACCGACTGAGCCACCCAGGCGCCCAACACTTGTTATTTCTTTTGATACTAGCCATTCTGACTGGGTTATATTTAGAGGAAGCTGTAAATACAAATATGATTTGGAGAAGGCAGCACATTCAGGTTTGCATTTCCTTGATGATCAGCAATGTTGATTGAGCATCTTTCCATGTGTCTATTGGCTATCTGTATTTCTTCTTTGGGAAAATGTCTATTCAGATCCTCTGCCCATCTTTTAATCACATTGTTTGCTTTTTTGGTGTTGAGTTTTATAAGTCCTAATATATTTTGGATATTAACCCTTTATTGGATATATCACTGGCAAATATCTTTCCCCATTCTCTAGGTTGCCTTTTTATTTTGTTGATAGTTTCCTTTGCTTTGCAAAAGTTTTTTAGTTTGATATAGTCCTAATAGTTTATTTTCGCTTTTGTTTCCCTTGCCCGAGGAGAGTCCATAAATATGTTGCTAAGGGTGATGTCTAAGAGATTACTGCATATATTTTCTTCTATGAATTTTATGGTTTAAGTTCTCACATTTAGATCTTTAATCCATTTTAATTTTATTTTTGTGTGTGGTATAAGAAAGTGGTCCATTTTCATTTTTTTTGCATGTAGCTGTCCAGTTTTCACAGCACCATTTATTGAAAAAACTGTCTGTAGCCCCATCATATATTCTTGCCCCCTTTGTTGTAAATTAATTGACCATGTAAGTGTGGGTTTATTTCTGGGCTCTCTATCCCATTCCATTAATCTATGTGTTTGCTTTTGTGCCAGTGCCATATTCTTTGAATACTGTGTCTTTGTATTATAGCTTGAAATCAGGTATTGTGATATATCCCTCTGGCTTTGTTCTTTTTTTTCAAGATTGCTGTGGCTATTCGAGGTCTTTTGTAGTTCCATATGAATTTTAGGATTGTTCTAGTCCTGTGAAAAATGTCATTAGTATTATAGTAGGGATTGCATTGATTCTGTAGATTGCTTTGGTTAGTGTGTACATTATAACAAGATTAATTCTTCCAATCCATGAATATGTGGTTTTTAATAATCTTAATGTATATGTGTGTATGTGTTCTATACTCAAAGCCACTGTATCATATGAAACTTTAAATCCGGAGCAAGGATGTTCACTGACATCACAGTTTACTTTATTCGGGCAGCACTAATCAGTTTAATTACCCCCAAAAAAGGTAAAAATTAGAAAGAAAAAGGCAAAATTATCATTATTTGCAGCTGATATTATTTACTTGGAAAACCTGAGGGGATCAGCTCAAAAATGCACAAAAGAGAATTTATTAAGATGTTCTAGCACAGAGTTACTATTTAAAAAATCAGTTGTCTTAAATACATAAATAATAATAAATAGTTTTAATATATAATGAGAAATAGACATGATACTACAAAATTGTTAGGAAACTCTTTGTCACAACTATTGCAGACTATAAATGTCAAAATTTTGCTTACATAAAAACAGACATATTAATTGCATTTATCTTTGGGGGACTAGGAAATCCTAAATGGTCAGAAAGTATTCCATCTTTTCTGATTATCAGGACTTTCATATGACAACAAAAGTGTATAACTGTCCCTTTCTTGATTATTAATACATGCTGTTTCAAAGAAAAGTTTATATTTTGGAAATGCTTTATGATTGGGGAGATTGTGTTGTTTTCTTTTTACTAGAGAAAGCCATTTCAAGATTATTATGCTTCTCAAAAGACATTTTCTTCCAGATTCCATTTAAAAATTTTTATGTTATTCCTTTTCTTTATTACGTTGAAACCAG